GGGACTTAACCCCCATGAATTTATCCAGTTCTCTTTTAAATGCTGTTATAGTTTAGTGTTTGATGCTCCATTACCTTTTTTTTTTTTTTTTAAACAAGCTGATACTAAAAAAATGCAGGAAGTCTCTTTATTGGCGCCAAACTTTTGTTCTGTTTAAAGAAGTTTAAAATTAATGAAGACAGGAAGACATGACATTAATTTCTTAAGCTAGTTATGTACACAAAAGTCTGGATAACTTTGAGTTGTTCTACAATGGTCATTTATATGGATGAGTCAGCTCAAAAAGAGACTCAGCTATTTTATTCATGTTGTGAAAATTTATGATTACTTAGGCTTCTCATTGAAAATACTTCCAAGCATATACTAGTAAGAAATGGTGGCGTTTATGATTATTTTAATTAACGATCTGGAAGAGGAAATAAACAGCACATGAATTAAATATGCAGGTTATACAAAACTGGAATAAGTTTCATTCACCAGCCAAAGGACTTAGATTAGAAGCAAAGGCTGTCCAGGCAAATTTGGGCTGTCTATTCAGAAGCATTAGTCACATAGTTCTCTTCCTACATGGCTCTACCGCAATCATACTGGACTACAGCATTCAGTTCTGGGCACCGCATTACTAGTAATATTGAGAAATTGGTAGGAGTTCAAACAAAATTGACCAGGGATTGATTTATAAAGAAAGACTACTGGCTACGTGTAGCTTGGCTAAAAAGGGAAGGGATATAATATTCTACAGTTATCTGAAAGGTGTAAATACCCTGAATGGAGATAAGTGTAGGAAGGTACAGGGAATTACAATTAAGTAATGGGATTAGGAAAGGGAAATGTTGGCTAAATATGAACTGCTTGTCAGCAAGAGCTATTGGACTGTGGAACGCCCAAGGGAAGGGTTGGAAGCCTCACTTCTGGAGACTTAAAAGTAGAACAGACATAGCATGAGAAAATGTAACCTAAGGAACAATCCTGAAATCAGCCCCAAGGAAATTAAACGAGTACATCTTTTCCATCTTTAAATTTCTGTAACTGTGTCCATGCAATTTGGCAACAATTTGAGAAGGTTCTTTACTCTATTTGAACTTTCTTCAAAAGCGCGTGCATGCACAGACACAAGAACATGTTTAAATTATATCATAACAGGATTTAATCTTAAATACATATCCACAGTTCTGCTCTTAGTCACTTGATGACAATATTAAACAAAAACTACAGGGAAATAAGTGAACTCTGTCATACTAATAAATCCATGTCTGTTTATATTTGTGCTGCCATGATGTCTATACTATAATCACAGGATACTTGCATATTTTCATGGTGCAATACAATATATTCCACTTTTCTAAATAAAAGGGAACTTTTACCCAGTACAGCACAAGGTTTCTCATTCATTTTCTGCTCTCAAATTCTGTTTATGGAAAGTTCTATTGATCACACCCTGCAAAGAACAGTTACTGATTCCACAGCAATACTGGGGATCTTCTAGATGTTGTCAGTGTAGAACCTACTGTAGATGTGCATATGCTGTGTGTGCAAGATTGGAATTTTTTGAACAGGCATGTCCCGAAGACAAAGGATAGAACAGCCATGACATTCCCTCAGATCCTTCTCAATTTGAAGCCCATGGTAGATGAGGACTCTGCAAAGTGGGGACGAAGGGGAGTCATGAAATCCATACTGATAACATCTCAAAGAACCATTCTTTCTTTGAGTAGGCATCAGTGTGGATTCAACTGCAACCAGCATCCCCTCATGATGGCGAGATCGAGGAGTCTTAGCTGTACCAACTGAGCAGCGATTGACTTATTTCTCTCCTGAACGTAGCATCTGATATAGCAGCTGAATCCAAGGCATAGTGTTTGGCAAATGTCACAGGGTTACTCCACGTTGCCGTCTTACAGATTTCCAATATTGGCATGTACATGAAACAGTTAGGGCATGTTACTTGTGTTCTGGAGGAGTGAACCTTGATGTTTGGTGGGAGAAATACACTGTCCTCCATTTTGATATTCTTGGTGATGAAGTCACCTGACCTTTAGAATGCCCTGCTATGGCTAGATTGACAGGCTAGTTCAAACTGTTGCCCCATCCATGTAACAAACCAAAGTCCTGGATACATTTAGCGTGTGCAAATTCTCTTTTCCCAGTGCTAAACATGGCTTCAGGAAGACGACAGTAAGGTTGACTGATTTATATGAAATTCTGAGACCACCTTAGGAATGAACCTCAGGTGAGGTCTTCGCACCACCTTGTCCCTCTTGAATATCATATGAGACCATAAGTGCCTGAAGTGCACTCACTCTTCTGGCTGAAGTGATAGCCACTAGGAAAACAAACAGTCTTCAGTGTGTGTTGGTATAAGGAAAATTCTGCGAGAGACTCCAATGGAGACTCAATGAGCCTCTGGAGGATTATAGTGAGGTCTCAGGAGAAGGTTCTCCGACTGCTGCATAAATGATTTTCTCAAAGAGCTATTTCAGGTGGGTTCAGAAGTGCTCAAAACCCGGGGGGGGGGAGGGGGGGGGCGCAATCCTTCCTCCCCCAAGCAAGTGGAGAAGAGGTAAGAGTGGCTGGAGATTGCCATAGTCCTTTGGCCGATTTCAGGATTTCTTTATTAATTGGGAGGATGATCCTGACTAGTGTTTTCACGCTCACAATATTAAATAGCTCATGAGACTGTTCTTATATGAACGCAGTCCCAATGTGCAAGGTCTCTGCAATTTGAGTCAGGAGGTCCTTGAAAGCTTTCTGCATGGGGACTGGTGTCACTGCCCTGAAGAGGATTCCTTGGGTGGAAGCCAGGGTCATTGTTGCCTCCCTGTCATTTCCTGCTCCTATGTACTCACATCCAGTTCCAGTGTGGCCTAGCCATCCATGCCATTAGGCAAGAAGGAATAAGTCAGCAATGGCAAGAAGGAGAATACCTCCTCTTCAAAAGGCAGCACCAAGAGGTGCTATGGAGCAGGTTCACATCTGTCATACCAGGAACGTCTCCAGAGATATGGATTCCTCCAAGGCATCTCTCAGGTCTTTGCTCTCCTCCATCACAGGTACCGGTGCCAGGTCTCACTCTGCCCGACTGCTTGGGGGATTTGTCCTTAGATTAATCTGTTTCATGTCCCTCTCTGGAACTCCCTTTTGGTCTTGGAGCTATGTGTAAGCTTGGCTCAGCTACATGAGTTGGTGTCCCATTTGTGAGCAGACATAGGTACCTGCTTTAATGCCTGAGGTGCCAGCATTGAGGCAGTCAATACAGGTGCTGAGTCCATCAGTCCTGGGGTAGTCAGTGCCACGGTCTGGTGTGCAGCAGACTTCACTGACGTTGAGGTGGTCAGCAGTGATGCTGCTGACACCACCTTCCTTCCACTGTTCAATCCCAGAGTGTGATGTGTGCTCGAGGGAGTGCTGGCCAACACTGGTTTGTGTGGTCTTGCCGTGGTCATGTCTGTCACCGCTGGGTCTGCAGAAACCTGCATGAACCACTCTAGCACATGTAGCTTTACCTGAGCTTGTAGGTGCTGGAGGAAAAGGACTTCCACACAGAGCACCAGACCGGGATGTGCCTCTCCCTTTGGCAGAAGAGACATTTGCTGTGACCCTCCTTGATGGGATCCATCTGTCACAGGATGGGCAGGTTTCAAACCCTGAGGGTTTGATTCCACCATGGAATGTGGCAAGCTGGTGTGAAGCATCTTGCCCTGCTGTTCGGCAGAGTGTGGTGTGGTCATTGAGGGACTTTTTTTTAAATAAAAGGAACATCCTTCAGTTAACTGGCTTAGGGTCTCTGAAAAGAATAGGGTGTCAGACACTCACTTGTCTTGTTGCCATAAGCAGTAAGAGGAAAGTGAGAAAGAGTCGCAGCCACTCCATCCTTTATGCCCTTGTGCAAGAGCACGAGGAGGCCAAAGGCACATACACGGCTGCCAACACTGCTATTCCAAAAATCCTATCTTGCATGCATGAGTACCTACTCTGGGATTCTCACCGACAACGTAATTGAAGAACTGTTGAATATGTAATGCATTATGCGTAGAGACTTCTATTCCCTTGAACAGCAATGCTCAGATTTTATGATCTAAAGTTTTTTGGCCAAAACTATTGTACGTAAAGCACCCAAATTCTTTCCAAAAATTGTGTTCTTTAACAGCATAGTTTAACAATATACAGGTTGTATATTTTACAGTGATGCCCTGTTGCCCTTTTAACAAGGAGGCTCCACAAAACTGTCCCTCTTTATGTTGTTGTAAGTCTTGAGCACAGTTCGAAAAACAGCTGTGTGTGACTTAGGATGGGGTCAGAGATTGGAATTTCTTCTCATTTACAAAAATGGTTAAAAATAACTATGAAGGGAGGCAACAACACCTGGCAAACACACTTTCATTAAGTGTACTCACTGGAAAGGTTTACACATTGTTCCTAAAAAATATACTGTACTATGCCATCAGTGTTCAGGGGTGGGGAGAATCTTGACATGAGGGAGACATGTATTCTAACCCAACGACTTAAAAAAACAAAACAAAAAAACCCCACACTTGTTGAAATCTGGTGCATTAAAAGACAGCACATTTGCTCTTCAGAAATAATTTTATGAGCCATGGGACTATACTGACTCTGGTGGGATAATTAGCAGCATTTGAAGAGGGTGAATTCTATTCTAGTCAAGAAAGATACCCTAACCACCTCTTCAGTTTTCTAGCATGGTTTTACAAAGTAACCCTGAAATCCCCCTGCAGTACCCGACATACCATTTAAACTCTTAGTAAAATGTGCTACATCTAAGAAAAATGTAATCCTACTCTTATTTTGATGGCTTTAAAATCAAACTGCAGAATTACATTGGTGAGGTCCAACCATGCAGTTTACTGTACAGTACTGATGGCATCTAATTTCAATGTACATTGATATTTATTCATGTGAACTCTTGAAATTAAGGTCAGGAATTACAATTACTCACATCCTCTCCCTCTCAACTCTGGGACACTTGTCTTTGCTGCTCCCTCATTTTAAATTAGAAAGAGGTGTGGGGCTGAAAGGAAGGCGTTTACAATGTGGGGGGGGGGAAAAAAGTGACCATATCAGCCCACTTAAAACCAGTGTTTCGCAGTGAAGTCAAGTTGTGCTTGTGTCTGTATATTTGCACATGAATGCCAGTTTTCTGATTTAGCCGCCCTGCTATCCCAAATAGCACAGACATGAAGACTGGTGTACAAATCACCAACCTAATAACATTTCAAATTATATTAAAATCACTTGAAGTTTGGGGTTTCATTTTACTGTTCTTATATTAATTTTTAACTGTATAAGTGATTAAAAAAAATCTTTTCACAATTTTTAAAGAAGTTACTCGGTTTACAAACAAATCACAGAGCCATGCAATAGCAGCAAGTTACACACAGCCATAGCAGTATTATGAACTCAGTTACATAGGTGTTTAAGTAGGTGCGGAATATGGTCCCTATCACAGAGAGTTTACAATCTAACAAGGGCAATATAGACAGAAGGGGGAGGGTTCAGGATGGAATGCAACAAAAAGCAAGTGAGAGGAAAACTTCATCATGTGTCCTGTTAGTACTACTTTCCTATGCACACTGTGAACCATAAGGAGACTAGGATATAAATCTCCACAAAGTGCTTCCATGAGAGGTCTCAGAGTGGGTGAAGACCTAGCATACTGGCTCAGGAAAAAGTGATCAAGGTGCAAGGGGTTGCAGGAGATTCAAGTGGAAGGAGGATGCAGTGCAAATAATAAGTAGTGCGTCTTGGGTGGAACAAATTGGATGGTGAGGGTCAAAAGGAAATACAACCAGAGAGTTTGTCTGGAGACAAACTATACATCACCAGCATCAAGTAACCTACATTTTATTTCAATGAGGTAGAATTGGGGTCCAGACTTTTTCATTACTTTTGTTGGTTTAGGTCTGAATCCTGCGTGGCATTAGAGCCGTTATTTTGGGACCTAAAAAATATTGGGGGCTGTCAAGGTTTTTAAAGACGCACCTTCCACGATGACAACAGCTGTTGACAAGCACAACCTGCAGGAAGCAGAAGTGATGTCTCTCCCCCAACTACACCTATTAAGGCATGCTAGTGTAAGTACTATAACTTGGCTATTATGCCTCACTTTACTTCTGAGCTGGAAAGACAGAATGTATTTTGAGCAATAATCCAATGCCCACTGGATCACAACAACTACTTTGGAATATTTAAAAAAACCCTCAAAGAATACAAAATCTAGTTTACTTTAAGCTGTTTATTTTTTGTACTTGTCAGCTTACACAAACTGAAATTAAACTGATCACTTTCACTCAATTTATATAATCAGTTTCTCTTTCCGCTTCATATGTACTAGTGTTGTTTCCAAAAAATTAAAAGACATTGGGAACAATTTTGTTCATGTTAAGTTTCATAAAATCCTTTTGAAAGAAACCTACAAAAATGTCCATTTGACGATAATCCTTTTTTGGAAATATTAAAACACTTCTCTTTTATTTCACTCAGCATATACATGGTGAGTAGATGTGCCAGCAAGTCAGAAAGAACCAGAGTATATTTATTGTGATCTATAACTTAACACCAATGAAACAAGATGACCTAGTTTTATGCTTGTGTAAACCTTTGAGCATAAGCAGGAAATAAAATCTAGACAGTAAATAAAATATAATGTAGTACTTCAGCCAATCTTTTTAAACTATTTTCTGAGGAGGGTTGTGAAGAAGTTTATTCATGGTAAACTTCATGGCGAGCGATGAATTATAGCTTGTTTAGTACTAGACTCTACTGATCCAAAATACTAAACCAAGATATTATCTATCTGAAAGCTTCATAAAAATATCAGATACTCAAACCTGATGCATTAGAGATTTGGATAGCTTAAAGTTTCAAGAGAAACATATACTGGCCTTAAGGACTGGTGTAAGATAACAGAAATGCTTTTAAATATAATCTATACACGCTTATATTATTCTGTGTGACTCAATCATAACGCTTACTGGAAATTGGAATGGCTAAAAGCAACTTTCTATGGAGTTACCTGTGCTTACTTTTATAAGATATTGCATATATTAACTTCTGAAATACATTGTGAAAGATTCAGTCTAATAAACAAGTCATTTTTGTCCATCTCCCATTCTGTTCCTAAAAGGACACAACTGGCATAAATATCACTTGCGTTAACCTAGATACACACACTGATTTGATTTAATACATACTCTGATTTGGTTTTTCAGTTGCTCAGCCTCCTGGCGTAACTGGTCAAGTTCACTCATCTTCCTGTGCTAAAGGTGGGCTTCACTGCCACCTCTGAGACAATCAGAAATCTGAAATACAGACACATGAGGATTTATTAAAAAAAGTTTGATAAATTAATGGAGCAGAATGTCCTTTCAACATAGCTAGAATTCAACCCAGAATTTAACAATGACTGGTAAAGTCAGCTTCAGTGGGTCCACATTTCTCAAATCTATTCAGAACAAGGTACAATCACAACCCTTCATATCTACTGTTTCGTTCTTCATGCCCATGACTAATAAAATATGTGTAGGATTGTTTCTTCTCCTTTCCCTCAGGTCCTATTGCATTTTTCCTACCATAAAATATCTTCTTGATTGCACTTTGCACAAGCTGTCACACTCGATGAGCGAAATGCTGATTTTTTACAACACTAATTGTGATAAACCCTTTTTCCCTTGGGGTGAAATTGTGTGTAAAGTATTAGTAGAAGATTTGTTTTTTAATCAAAGAAAAGATAAAGATGTCTCCAATATTTATAGACTGGAGTAACAAACTGAAAAGCCAGAAATAGGATAATACAATAAAGTTTCCTGAAATTTGGTGATTGTGAGGAATACTGTCTGGATAGCTGAGTAAACTGAGATTGTTCAGGTCCCCATGAGGCAGAAGAAACCAAAGGGACAGCAGATTTGGGTGAGAAGCCCTGGAGATTATTCTGAAGTACCTGTCAGGGAACTTCATTTAGTTTTCTCTTGCTAGGTAGTCAAGTCGTACTGGAATAGATATTTGTAATGTTATGTGCAATTTCTGCTGTGACTATACTTTGTTTATCCTGTGATGTAACTGAAAAGCAAATATGAACTTACAGAAATTAGATGAAATATATTAAAATGTTTCGTTTTATACAATTACATTTGTTCTCACGCTTGTCACAGAGCCCCACTGTAATGCTTTTCATGTAGTACATAATTGGGGTGCGGCTAGCCACTACAGAGGACTAAACAAAACAAGTTCCACTTAATACAAATAGCTAGGTAACACCATTTCTCTGTTTTGAGATGTATTCTAGATACTGTTTCGTAAAAAAATTCACCCAAAAATCTGTGGCTACCATGACTTATACCTGCTTTAGGAGTTCAACTAAATTACTTCAGAACTGTCAAAAGAAAATAAACTTGTGGAAAGCAAATGAGATATTTTAGAAGCTGTCTTGATCTTCCATATTTAGTATTGTCCATGCTGCTGCTGTTCATTGTTTGCCAGTCATATACATCTGATTACAAATTTGATTCCTCTGTTCTTCTCCTGTATGGCCATAATAGATTATGCATATTTTATTCATGTATTATCAATGGACACTGTCTTACTTTTAACTGCTACCCTTGTGGACATCATTACCTCTTTCAGCAAATCAAACCTTCACATTCCTGAACTTTGAAAAGGACAATAGATATAACATCTTATACTGTTAAAATCAGTGTATAGAAATTGCAGTAATGTTCAGAAAACACAAAGCCCTCGTCTCCAAAAGAAATTCTGGCAATTGTTTTAGAACAGCAATGAATGGTTGTCTACTAGGATAATGACCTAAGATCTCATTCACACTTTTTATAACAGTGTTAAAACAGTTTCATTCTGTCTACAGTATCAATTACACAGTTTAATGAGTTGGAGAACCTGCTGCTGACAGACATTTTCTGCAATAGCTGGTTTTCCTAGTATAGATCCTGAGTTATTGGCTAGCATACATGCCTCTGGCTGCTGCATCCTAGGAGGAGACTGTCTGTAAACAATATAGAACAGACAGAGCTAAAAGACCATCCCTGAACCACCATGAACTTCCCACAAAAGGCAATTTCGTTCCAAGACATTACTCAAACCATTTAAATATCTTCTGCTAAGTTTACAATACTTTGCCTTTAATAGAAATATTTTCCTAAACAAAACTATCATTTTCCTTTAGTGTTCTGGCCTAAAAATTCATAGTTACCCCCAAGCTGAGTTTCTTTTAACGTGGGAGTAACTAGGCACTAATGTAAAATTGCAGAGGTACAGTAGCAATTCTAATGAAATTTACATTTAGCTGGGGGGAACAAGGTATATGGCTGTATCAGAAGTTTAGAGTCAACAGAAGAGTGGAACATAAGTTCAATTTTCTAGGCAGATTAAATCAATAAATTAACCTTTTAAAAATACTTCAATAGCATAAACATGACATTATTGCTGGGCTAAATTCTTAAATTAGAGCACTTGTTAAAAGACTTATTTTAAGAACAGTGTTTAGTTGTTATAGTTATATATGTTATAGCAAATCTTGCATTTAGCAAGGCTGTTAAATTTGAGCTAATAAACTGCTGTCATATTTGTTTCTCCCTTTAAGGGCTATTTTAGCATGTATGAAAATCTAAAGAACAGAACTTGTATTTATTTTTGAAAAAGTAATTTGGTAACTAGACCTGATCCTTCACCACTAAAGAACACAAATGCTGTGCTAGCAGCTTCAGATATTATTCTATTGGTATTTAATCTGCCTTAAAAAACAAAAACAAAACAAAAAATAAGAACCTCATAGGTAGCCCTTCCCAGGAGGAAAGATAAAGATAATTGCAAAGTCCCCTGCCAATCAGCGATGAGATGGTACAAATCCACCAGTAAAGAAGTGGAAAATAGATGACGTGAAAGTAAAGTGCTAATGCTCTCTAAATAGGGTCATCCTGTTGCTTTCTTACAGCTTTCTATCATCGTAAAAACGACTCTAAAGTACCTCAGAACTTTAAACAGCTCCCAGAATCTATCAAGACAAATATCAAATGTCCAAAACTTCTGACACCATTACTTACAAATATACCGTTATCCTCAGCAGTCCAAAATATACTTACAATAGAAACTTGAGTCAGCTCCTACCAAAAAAATCTCCAGTCATACTGTTCCAGAGCCCAGACGCGGTGTTAATGTGGAACTAGGTCTCATTCTCCCTTCAGATTCCAGGGTCATAGTTAAGCCTTTGTAAGACTGTTGGTTCAGCTTAGTAGCCCATTCAAATTCAGTTAAGACAAAACCTGCTGAGAACCTTATGCTATCCACTATCCTTCTGACCCATATTCACCATTCTATTTTCTTTGGAATATTCTTTCCCTTCAGAATATTCTCCACTCTGAGTTCAGTACTAGGGACTCTGCTGAACCACACACCAGTCTTGAGAATGGAGCAGTCAATGCTCATTTTGTCTCTGCAGCTCAGCAATCTTTGCTTGGAGTTGTTTGTACTGCTATTTTGACAATGAAAATCACTTCAGAGCAATACAGGCACTTGACTAAACAGTGTTCTTTAGCATACAGGGCGTCAAATTTGTCACGTTTCAGCTTCGCCACAGATCAGTTAGACTTCAGTTACAACAATTTTAAGTTATTGTTTAGCCCCATTTTAGCTGGGTAGATATTTCTATATTCTTGACATCAAGCAGAAATAATAGTCTCTGGTATTGCACCTTTCAGACAACTCCTCACCTATATGAAGTGGTGGTGTCCTCATTTTACAGGTGGGGGAACTAAGGTCCGCAGGTTAAACGATCTGCTGAAGGTCACAGTACCTTAATGACAGAATCAAGAATAGAACCTAGGTGTTCTGGCTTCCAGTCTCCTACTCCAGTCACTAGTTCCTGCTGATGCCATCTGCAGCTTTATCTTTAAAAAGTCTGGTACGGACTAATATAGCAGCAGGCAAAGGACTAGCTACATATCTGTTCCCGCTACAGCACATGGTGTAACATGGTTCCAATCTTCTACTCATGCCAGAAATTATAAGATTATAAACAATGGAATTATATTCACTTACTTACTGAAATAATGGGTTTTTCTTTCTTTTAAAAGTCTTGAAAAAGACAAAAGAACTGATCCCAAGATCAGAATAATGTTGAGGAAGTTCACCTTACAGTGACTGAGCCTAGTTGTATCATTCTGGATCATTTGAATACACTCAGCAGTTTTTAAAGATATACCAGATGCGTTTCCTTCATGCTTGTGCCTTATTGCTTAACGAGGTGTGCAATGAAGGATACTACTGCAGATGTGTAAACCAGCTGAAGTGGGACATTACTATGAAGTGCCATATAGCCATTAAATATATAAATGTAATAGTATGAAGTGAGTATAGCCCAATATGTTAAATAGTTCGTTTAGTGGACAAGTCTACGGATGTTAAGACACTCCAAAATATGTACATGCATTTCTTTCCACAAAGAAAAGTCTTCATTAAAAAAGTTAAGATAAGAAGGGTCCAGTGATGGAATCTCCTTTAACGTACCTTAATTCCTACATGCACCACTTTCACTGACAGATGCTGCCCACCCTTCTATAGGTCTCACAAACCTCCAACTCATAGGTATACTACATAACGCCACACTCCTAATGGATTCACTCTATGCTGTGAAACCTTGATTGCAACCTTACATTTTCTAACAAGAAACCATCACATCATACATTAACTTACCAGCATATGAGTGTTTAAAGATGTGTTAATGTTGCTGAATATGAGTTAATGTTTTTTGTGATCATGAGGAATGTGGTGTGTACATTGTTTTACTGTTAATGATTAGAGATGTGACTTCTTTACAGGAGGGGGAATCGGACAGTAAAAGTGGTGAATGATGGGAGATGGGGAGTTAAGACTTGTAAGGATACCTAAACTTGACATTTCCTGACCTTTAAGGGTTGGGATGAGTGACTGGCCACCATCCGTAATCTTAACTATTTTTTAAGATATTCTCTTTGTGGGAATCTTGATTGAAGCGGTTATGTAGGTCATGTGGAAAAGAGGAAACAGACCCTTTCACCATTCAATATAATATATACATGTAAATAGTAATGATAAAAAATACAAAATGTATAGAAGGTCAGATCTTTGATACACAACGTACTTAACAGATAAGAGTTGGTTCTACTATAGTAAAGAGCTGGGTTTCATTTCTAGCTTTTCTTGATGTCAAACAATCTTCTCTTTATATTGAAGACACTCCTAACTTCGCTCCTCCTTACTTCTTTCTCTGCCTGCCTCTCTTCCCACATCCCAAAAGGTACATTTAAACAGGGGTACC